TGAACTCAGAAATACTTCTAAACATTTTAATTAACCATTATTTCTGTCATAAAAATGTGTGGGAGTATTTCAGCTGGCTGATGAGCAGTGTGCAGCAGCAGTATTTTTCTCTGTGCTCCCTTAAGCTGCAGAAACTCTAACCATAACATACCAATCTGATATCTTATTAAAAGGTTTAAAACCTAAGACTTTATGAAATCTTCCTTTTAGACCTTTACTGTATATTACTATAGTAGTATTTTGAAAATAAAAAACACAGTGCTGATATGAAGGACTAAACGTCTCATCTCTATTTCAGCCGTTCAGCTTTTCCGTAGGATTCTGTTGTCTTTAACTTTGAGCTAATGCAGGTATACACCCTCACACCTGCTGACTGGAGTTGATGTTGGCGCGACAAGGACTCACCACCACCCTCTGATGTTTCATGCGGGCTGAAGTGGGTGGGAGGGGAAAATCCCAAGATGTTGCACTCACTGCTGATGCTGCACTGTTACACGGATGCCCGGGGTCATGGCACGGAACAGGGGAGAGGAAAAACAGCTGAATGCCTGGAAGACAGGATCTGACTGGGTCCTTCTGTTTCTTGTCATTTTTCCCCCTCTTTCCCTAGAAGATTTTTCATCGGCTTGGTCACTTTAGGGCTCATTGAAAAGCCACGGTCTGTGCATGGACTTAAATTCATCAAGGATTTCGCCAGATCTTTGAACCCCCCCCACCCCCAGCCTCTGGGCTTGTGGTTAGTCTGAGTCTGTGAATGTGTTTAAAGAGATTGCTGAGGTGAGGGTTCTTAAGCAATGCATTTCCCTCCAGAACATCAGCAGTCTGTACTGCCTCCTGTGTTGTTCTCTTCGGAGACAGATAAACCAAAGCTTAGGGGTCTTTGACATTCAGGTTCAAACATGCTATAAAGTGAGGTTTGTTTTCACAGCCACAGAAGCGTTGAGACGTCCCGCCCTATTTCTTTTTCCTCCGGTCCTGCTTCGGAGCGGAATGTCGCCCCGGGTTTGGTATTTGTTTGAAGAGCGACTGAAGGTTAATAATGTGAAACCTGCTGAATGTGGAGAGCCGAGCGACATTCTGGATTTCCCAGAGCACCAGAACTCTCTGTAACCTGAACTGGGCCCAGCTGGACTGTTAAAACCACAACTTAGCTCTGTGTATATGTGTGTGTGAGTAGGGTGGGTGTACTGGGTTCAGGGGCTTAGCAACTCAAGCATGTGTTTGACATTTGGTCTGAGAAATTGGCCCATTCTACCCCCTGCCCTCCCCAATACTAGTCTGCTTGTTTTCCTTTATATCTGTGGATCACAGATGACTTTGACTTGAAAGCAAAACGTCACTTTGAAGTGCAATGAAAGCATATTTTCCAAATTCTGTCGTGAGATTGGAAGGCCTCTCCTGGGTACCTCGTTCACCCTTGGAAATCAAAGTCCTCCATCATGACCTCTTGGGACTGAAGAAAATAAGCTGCCATTTTCTCTTAGCTGAGCTACACCCAGCCCGTTTGTTTTCTGCAGATAAAAATAAAAGATCTCTTCGCCACTTTAGGTGGTGAAACACTTAAAATCGATTAAACTCTCCAGAGGATTCTGAAAAGGGGCCTTTTAAAGTCTTTGTCAAAGCCTTTGCCGTAAAGATAGCCTTGTTGGAATTGTATGGTTTTTTTTCACTTGTAATACAATAAGGTAGAAGGGTTAGAATATAAGACTGGCGACCTGTCCAGGGTGTACCCCACATCTCTTCCATTGACAGCTGGAGGTAGGCACCAGCACATGGATGGATGGATGGATGGATGGATGGATGGATGGATGGATGGATGGATGGATGGATGGATGGATGGATGGATGGATGGATGGAATACACCTTCTTCAAGAGTTCGTGGTTTTAAATTTTAAAACAAAAACACACAGGTCTTCAATGCAATAAGTGTCATCTAACCATATCTTACATTGTTATTATTCTAGCCAAGGAGTATTTCTCATCTTGTTTTGCAATTGATAAACAAAGCAAGATCAGATTCCTTTAGACTATTGAGAACATTCTACAAAAAAAATCTGCAATAATCTGCCAGTGCAGAAAGACAATTGCAATAAGTAATACTGTACTTCATGTTTTGGGAATATAATAGGGATGTTTCACCTGGTTTAATTTCTTTAAAAGCCTTCTTTAAGGAATCTTTGGGTATCCGATTATTAATCGAAAAAGTAATTGACAGATTAATTGATTTGCAAAATAATCGTTAGTTGCATCCCTAGAATATATATAATTATTTCAAGAACTATTTCACTGCACTGGCAGATTATTCCACTTATTTTTGAGTAAAATCTTCTCAAACTAAAATAATCTTACACTCTGTTCTTGCTTAGTGAATCAATCTCAAAACAAGATCAAAAAGACGTTTTGACTAATTATAAGATTGTAAGACTTGGCTTGATGGCCAATTTTTCGTGTTGTTATGTATTTTTTTTTTTGCAAGAAGAATACATATGGATTATTACAGTAACAGTAACATATAAGATCAAACCAAAACTGAATTTTGGGGAACATCATCACATCAATGAAAATTATTTGCTTTATTTGCATACAAATGATCATAAGATCATTCAGAGTTCGTAACATGACTTATCTGCTGAGTTTGTGTTTAAAGGCTGCTTGTCATTTCACCTTCTCACAGTTTGTATTTTTGATTATTTAGATGTCTGACTTCTTCAAATATGTTTATCATGTCTTTTTTCAGGACATTTTTTACTGACCATGTATTTTAGATAGGTTTAGAATAGTGTTTTATGTAATTATGTGGCATATTCTATAGTGTGATACAGGATTAAGATTATACCAAACTGGGTAATAATATATGTGAGATTTGAGTTTTTTTTGAGTGATATTTAACTACAATGAAAACAACAAAAAAGGTGGAAGATGATAAAGTGTGTAGATATAAAATATGGGAATTAATTTACTTAATTAATTCATTTAGCTTTTTTTTCTGATTGTCAGTATTTCCAAACAGCAGGAACCTTCTTTTAGCCAGGTGACAACAAGTAGGGGAGGGGCGACACAGCATAGGCTTATGGGAAACAGATTATTTTTGCACTTTCTCTGCTCGCTAATTGAAATGAGAGAAATTAGAAAAATTGTTCTTTTCTTCTTTTTTGGGGTGTTTTTCATTTTCATTTCAACAACAGTTTTACCATCTCGTTTTGTGATGATGCTCTTCTTGAAAGTCTTAAAAGTGGTTTGTATTTACTCTCCTTTTCCCAGTTGTTCGAAATGTCCTAACAAAACCTGTTTACCTGCATTCATGTATCTGTCCAAACATGCAGTGGTTCTCGTCGGCGTGATTTTACACAAGTCTCCCTTCCCGCCTTACCAGAGGGGGTTCTTCTGCAATGACAAGAGCATCAGGCTTCCCTATAAGAACAGCACGGTGTCCACCACCGTGCTCACAGCTGTGGGCGTCACTGTGCCCGTGGTGTCTGTAAGTCCTGGTGTGGTAAAGCAGGAGAACAAGGGGAACACACGGAGCACGCTCAGTTCACCAGTGGCTGGCTGTTTTATCATCGCATACAGATTTTAATGGCTTCCACAGGCCTTAAGTCTCACTCAGTGGTTTTATCCCATTGACTTCAAATCATTTATGCAGCACATGCAGCCCTGCTCCACCTTTTTCCATCATGTCCTACCATAAGCTGCCAGGATAAAATCCAATCCTTCAGGCAGGCTTAAATTTGCATGCATTTGAATCAGACGAATGAAAATAATCATCTCATATTTTCCAGTAAAAACTTCATGGATCTGAAACGTTTCACTTGCAGTCCTACAATAAGAGCAGAAGACTATAAAATATTAAAGGGGGCAGCTTTGTTTCGATCAATTATAAAGTGAGGCTCCATCTATTGGTCATTTGGGTAGTTGAAGAATCTATTGATCATTGGTCAATCTAAAAAAGATAAGTTTAGCAAATAAGCATTTCCAAATAAACAAAAAATATAGAAAGAGAAACCTTTATTCTGTAATTTATAGACCAGTTTTTTATATATAAATAGAAACATTATTAGATGATTGTAGAATTTTTACTTTTAAGTGTCATTTTGATTACCAAATTAGCTGATGATTATTGATTTCAATAATGCATTAATCACAAAGAAATCGTTTCAGCCCTAAATAAAATAAATATTTGCAGAAAGTTAAATTGTCTACAAGTAAAACAGGTGATGAGCCTGTTAAGGTGATATACTGAATATTTTCTCTAAATGTTAAACTAACAACTTCTTTGGAAATTAGGGATTTTTATTACTTTTATCAGGCAATTTTTGAGCCCAAAATAACAAACTTGCAAATATATTTTTCCGTTCTGACACACATTTTTATGTTACAATCTCATCTATCTGTAAACAAAGACCATCAGTGATAAGAGTTTATTGTTCTGCACTTTTTATTATATTAAGCAGTTTTTTGTAGAAGCAGATGGTCGTTTGTTCATGTTTTAAGCAGAACAGGGCCATGTTTTCAAAGTCGATGAACTCCCCTTTAATGTTTGGAGCCTGTGGTGAAATTTGCTGATTATATTCTCCTCCTGCCAAATCCCAGTTTCTAATTTCAAATTTGCCATATAAATTGTTAAAGTTATGAGCTGCTTAGAAAGATGCACATCAGCAGAATGATTCCTCGTTAAAAACAACCAGCTGTTACATAAAGCATACACGATCCTTAATTGACAGACTGAAAGAAGCACCCGTCTGATCCACAGTGACCCTCTAATAATAAAAACAAACCAATTCCCCCTGATTATTTGATGAGACTCAGACTGCAGCCACAGAACGAACTGAGCCAGTTCCAGATGTTCTCATGTCACCTCCTGCTTGTAACCACAGCCTCTGTAATTTGCCTGTTATTAACCTAGCACCTCCATCTCTCTCCCCCTCACCCATCCATCCCCCCACCCCCACCCCACCTGCTCTTCTTCCTCTCTGTGCCACCCGCTCACCTCCACACACTAGCCGGCCTGCCTTTCTTGGTCATAGAGACCTGCGCTGTTCAGCCTTACCGCAGAGGGTTTTACTGCGATGATGAATCCATCAGGTACCCGGCCAAAAAAGGAGACACCATTAGCGACGGTGTGCTCACCGCGGCAGGCATTCTAATCACCATCCTCTCTGTAAGTCACCACGCTCTCATCACTAATCTCATCCTCACTCCTCTTGTTTCAGCTCCATGCACATCTACTAGCAGCACCTGTGGGAAACACACCAATTCTCACTCTAATCTTTTTTTTTCTCTCCATCTTATTGCTGTTTTGTATGTTCTGTGTATGCAGACGATTCCAAGAAGTGCAAACGGTCAAAAGCTACAGATGTTCATGTTTGACTCACAGATATGACTTAATCTATTGTAATAGAAAACTGCGTTTTGTGACAAAACCTTAGCATTGAGTCAGATAAACTTAAACTTTGTATATTTTTCAGCATGTCACTGGTGCTACAGTCATCAACACTCCCAAGAAATTGTAAAACAAAATCCATCTGAATGATTTTTGACATTTGCACAGTGTCTGAGATATTTTAATGAAGAACCAATGTTTTATCGTAACCCTAATTAAATGAATATGATGTGAAAAAGTCCCATTTCCCTTGGTCATAGTTAAAGTTGTTATTAAAGGTATACTGGAGAATTTTTACAAATTTTTTAAAAGACCTGCCGTCTCCACTTCAAAATAAAAAATGCACATGCAGAGCCCTGTACCCGCTCCCGAAAGGGAACGCCTATTAGACACGTGCAAGAGCGTGCACAAGCCCATTTCATCTCATGCATGCTCTGTTTAAAAGCTGCTGTTTGAATTGCTCATACAAGCTTACTGCCCAAAAGAAGATTTGCAATTTTTCCACTACGTTAGACTCACCTAGCCTCGTGAGACCATCCTGATCTCGCGAGCTTTCAAGGTTTTACTCGCAGATCAGTCTGGCTACTTTCCGTTAAAGCAAATTTGGAGCACTTCACCAAACGAACGTCCAATCAGTGTCGGCTTTGAGGCGGGTTGAGGTGTAACGCAACGAGAAGCGCGACAGTTCAGTCTAAAGAACATGGGGCTTCAGCCGATGAAACTAGCGTTAGCGTGGCTATCGAGCAGAGTATTTCTTCACTGAAAGAAGAGCAAAACACGCATCTGGAGGCTTTTCTCAGAGGAAAAGATGTTTTTGCTCTTCTCCCGACTGGTTTCGGCAAGAGTTTGATCTATCAATTGGCTTGTGCCTGGCTTGTGGTTGTGTTTTCGTCGTCGCTCTGTTAGTACGTCATATGCTTCGTCACCAACATAGGCCAATCAGCTAACCAGAATTTTCGCCCCTTCCCAAAATTACTTCAACGGAAAGTTTCCAGATGGATATGCGAAGCAAATCCATAGGGCTGCAACAACGAATCGATAAAATCGATAAAAATCGACTTTTAAAAGCGTTGGCAACGAATTTAATCATCGATTAGTTGTGTCGCGCGATTAATGCGTCATCCGCCGCCGCCGTCAACCGGGGGAAGAAAAAAAAGTATGGCGGAGCGAGTCAGCGCCGCAGTTGCAGTGTTGCCAACTCAGCGACTTTTCAGACCCCTCCAGCGACTATTTTTCAAAAAAGCGACTAGCGAAAAATCTGGCGACTTTTTACGGTGTCACTGGCGGCTTTTGCCTGCCTTGGGGCGCCTCCCCCATCCCAACGCCTTTTTCCCTCTCCCACAGGAATCCCTCTCAGTCAGAGCCGCAGGATTTTAGTGAGGAGTTAACCCTCAGCGTCCAGACTGCAAATGAAGCGCGCATGCGCCGGGATTGATGGCGCAAATTGATCACAATAATTAAAATAGCCGGCGCTTTGTAAAGTGAAAAAAGTCGTAACATGCAACTTTTGTAAAAACAAATGAACATGGCACGGAAGCACCACTGTTATGACGCAGCACCTGAAAAGAAAACACGTTGGAGCCTTCAATGGCAGTGAAGAGAGCTGATCAGCAGGATGAGTAACCATGTTTGTTTCATTTTAAAGTGGGGAAACGTAACGTTAGTTTCTCAGGTAGCTCATCTGATGCTTTCCTTACCTTGTTAGTAGGTTACAGACAGTGATAAGGTTGGCTACTTATTTTACTTTTAATTTCATTTAAATTTGTTTAAGCAGCGTTTATATTTTCTTTATAAATAAATTAACTTGCAAATTATGAGGGCAAGGCTTTTAAAGTTTAAATCTTCTGGCAAAGATAAAGAAAAGAAGATCCTGCAATTTATGGAAGTAAAGCAGAACAAAATCCAGCAAGATCAGTAATATGTCAATTAATTATCTGCCACATTCCCATGTAAATATCTGTCTTTGGAGGATGTGTCATTTTTATTCCAAATACAATTTATAATTTGAATCACAGGGCTATTTTTATCTCTATGATTCAGTATTTTCTCAAGCAGCAACTTTAACTGCTATACTTTCCTGTCTTAAAAGGCAGAACTCTTCTAGTCTAAAAAAACTCATTTGTTGAAATGGGGGGACCTATTGTTTGAACCCCTTAGGGGCTTTAAAAAACAAAAATGCCTGTCTCTTTTTGCGCTTTATGAAACAAAGTAGCCTATATTTTGTGGATGTACAGCTACATTTCTCATGTAAGTTTGCGTAGTTTTAACACAAACATTTATTTTTCATATAGCACCAGTACAGTTAATGAGCAACCTGTACTTGTGGGCTTGTTTGTTCTGTCTAAAATGTTTATTTTGGAATAAAGAGGTTAATATAAAAAAATTTTTTTGTCCGATTCATCGATTAATCGAAAAAATAATCGGCCGATTCATCGATTTTTAAAATAATCGTTAGTTGCAGCCCTACAAATCCAGCAAATCCATCTGGTGGATTTAGGTTAAGACTCACCACCGGTAAGTGAAAATGGGGATGAGCACCTAAACATATCACCAAAATGATTGACAATTAGGAGAACCAATTATTTTGATGAATAACTTGGAAAAATAAAATCCTCCACTATACCCTTAATGGTAACAGATTCCAACTTGAGTCGCACTTTAGGGGCAAGATAAAACTTTAGACTCAATTTATTCCTGGGGCCTAAAGAAACAAAAGAAATGACTTGAGAACATCTCTGCATCAAGATTTGTTACCACAAAACAAATAGTTGGAAATAATGCTAGGGGGCAGTGCAGATACAGACTTCCCTCAAATATCTTTGTGTTTTATCAAATGCTCCTTATCTCTCAGTTTGGACATTGAGGGAATAAACTAAGATTATCCAGAGTGATAAATGATGAGACACCATCTCCATACCTGGGCTATCTGCCAGAGCTGCTGGCTCCAGAGTAGTCTAGATAAGAATGAGCCAACAGCACTCATTCAGAGTTTTCCCTCGGGTAAAACGAGATGGCTGAAGTGATTACGGCTTTTCCAGTAAAGTGAAGTTTTTGATTAGCTTGGAGCACCCTCCAGGGGGAAATCAGTGACTATGTTATCCCAGAATTTAGTCCTTCTAACAAATTGATTGTATTTATATTTGAGTGTCTCTGCATCTGACCAGGCTGCTTTTGACAGATATGCCAATAAAATACGATTTTCTATCTAAAGATGACGCCCGGTAATTTAGCTTAACAACTGCACAGAAACTAAATTTAAACTCCAGCTATTCTTCCAAGAACTCTGCAAAAACCAAGCCTGTCTCTCTACACCTTAGAAACAGCTACCAAAGCATGTAGTTAGAGCTTACAAAATATTTTTCGACACCTCAGTAGCCACATAGTGATACGTTCACAACCACAAATGGGTAATTTGTCTGCAAACAGATTCCTGCAGCCTGCTCCAAGCAGAAGGCCTGTTTAGAAAATCAGCTTTTATTCCTCACATAATATGTGCAGTTTTAACCTTGCTTAGCGACGCCACCTCGCTTCGTGACCGAGGCTGCCTGTGTTGTGTCCCCCCCAAGCAGAGTGCTGCTCAGACGTAAAGCCGCAGGGGCGAGAAGGAGCCACGGCCGTGTAATTACGGTTGACGCAATGGTTGTTTGGTTAAATACCATAATTGCTGTGGTGGAATTGTGGCATGGGCCCCATGCAAATAAAAAAAAAGTGGCATGTATTTCACTTTTCCCCAGCAAGACCTGACTTTTGAATCCATCGTTGACCCACCCCCCGGCATGCTCTGGTCAACATTTGAATTTTATGAAGCAGAAGAAAAACAAACAAACATGGGTTTACAGGTGCTGGTCATAAAATTAGAATATCATGAAAAAGTAGATTGATTTCAGTAATTCCATTTAAAAAGTGAAACTTGTATATTATATTCATACATTACATACAAACTCATATATTTCAGATGTTTATTTTGTTTAATTTTGATGATTACAAATGACAACAAATGAAAATCTCAAATTCATCATATCAGAAAATTAGAATATTGTGAAAAGGTTCAAAATTGATGGCCCCTGGTGCCACACTCTAATCAGCTAATTAACTCAAACCACCTGCAAAAGCCTTTAAATGGTCTTTCAGTCTAGTTCTATAGGCTACACAATCATGGGGAAGACTGCTGACTTGACAGTTGTCCAAAAGACGACCATCGACACCTTGCACAAGGAGGGCAAGACACAAAAGGTCATCGCTAAAGAGGCTGGCTGTTCACAGAGCTCAGTGTCCAAGCACATTAATAGAGAGGCGAAGGGAAGGAAAAGATGTGGTCGAAAAAAGTGTACAAGCAAGAGAGATAACCGCACCCTGGAGAGGATTGTGAAACAAAACCCATTCAAGAATGTGGGGGAGATTCACAAAGAGTGGACTGCAGCTGGAGTGAGTGCTTCAAGAACCACCACACACAGACGTATGAAAGACATGGGTTTCTGCTGTCGCATTCCTTGTGTCAAGCCACTCTTGAACCACAGACAGCGTCAGAAGCGTCTTGCCTGGGCTAAAGAGAAACAGGACTGGACTGCTGGTGAGTGGTCCAAAGTCATGTTCTCTGATGAAAGTAAATTTTGCATTTTCTTTGGAAATCAAGGTCCCAGAGTCTGGAGGAAAAGAAGAGAGGCACTTCATCCACGTTGCTTGAAGTCCAGTGTAAAGTTTCCACAGTCAGTGATGGTTTGGGGTGCCATGTCATCTGCTGGTGTTGGTCCATTGTGTTTTCTGAGGTCCAGGGTCAACGCAGCCACATACCAGGAAGTTTTAGAGCACTTCATGCTTCCTGCAGCTGACCAACTTTTTGGAGATGCAGATTTCATTTTCCAACAGGACTTGGCACCTGCACACAGTGCCAAAGCTACCAGTACCTGGTTGAAGGACCATGGTATCCCTGTTCTTAATTGGCCAGCAAACTCTCCTGACCTTAACCCCATAGAAAATCTATGGGGTATTGTGAAGAAGAAGATGCAATACACCAGACCCAACAATTCAGAAGAGCTAAAAGCCACTATTAGAGCAACCTGGGCTATCATAACACCTGAGCAGTGCCACAGACTGATCGACTCCATGCCACGCCGCATTGCTGCAGTAATACAGGCCAAAGGAGGCCCAACTAAATACTGAGTGCTGTACATGCTCATACTTTTCATGTTCATACTTTTCAGTTGGCCAACATTTCTATAAATCCTTTGTTTTTATTGGTCTTCAGTAATATTCTAATTTTCTGATATGATGAATTTGAGATTTTCATTTGTTGTCATTTGTAATCATCAAAATTAAACAAAATAAACATCTGAAATATATGAGTTTGTATGTAATGTATGAATATAATATACAAGTTTCACTTTTTAAATGGAATTACTGAAATCAATCTACTTTTTCATGATATTCTAATTTTATGACCAGCACCTGTATTTAATGATTCATAGCTCACAGGCAGTGGAAACCAGAGGAGGCAATGCCCTTTGTAATTTATGCTGGCTTTTATTTTGGCCGATAGGAAAACCAATAAAGGCGTTGCTTCTCAAATAATCTTCATTTTTCTTGTGCTAAAATATTCTCATTCTACCATGTTACAACCACACAAAACTGTGTGGTTTAGGGGGAATTTTTCTGTGATAAACAAACACAAAATAACATAGTGAAAGGGAAAATATGGTTCCCAAACTGTTCTACTAAAACAAATCTGAAAAGTTTGGTGTGTTTGTTTTTTTAAACCTCCTTGCATCAGTGATATTTAGAACCACCATCTACCTCGATTTACGCTGCATCAGCTTGGCACAGCCAGGGGCTTCCATCTATGATTATACTTCCAATAACAGTCTACACAGAAAGATAGATAGCAATCAGATTCTTACATTGACTGGAGCTCCAACACATTAATACCTGTTTTCCATAAACCAGCTCTTTATTGTTGGTGTCCTACTGAAAGAGCTTCGGAAAAAATCTTTGGACAAGTCTCAAGTCTTTTGCAGCCTATATTTAGGGTCCCCATCTTTGCATTAGTTCTGAACACGTCTCCCTACTGAAGAAACGAAACCAACAGCATGCAACAGATTTAAACATGGGGGTCCTCTTGCAAGGTCCTCTTACCTTGAAGACATTAAAAGTTAAACAGGGACCCCTTATGTTTTCCCTTCAAAAATGCATTTTTTTCCTGCAACTTATCCTCCAAGTCCAGATTTACTGATTGCTAAAATATAAAATGTCCTGTCAAATAAATTATCTTTGCAGGTCCTTCAGGTAGCGCAGACCTCTTAGGAGATTTCTATGATGAATTGCCCACAACTATATGAGACGTTCAAAGCTTAGGCCATTATTTATTTAACCTAAAGGCTTAAAATGTCTTCTCAACCTCAATTCTTTTTTGCGCCTTTATTCCTTATGTTTGTTTACTAATGTTCTGCTGTCCATTTCTAAGCCTTACTTCTGAGGGTAAATGGTTGCACTGGAGGTGTCAGAGGAAAGAATGCAGAATACAAATATTTTTGAAGGGTACTATTTCCCTTCCTCTTCATAGAACGTGCTAATTGGTGTTGGTCCATCACATGAAATATCAGCTAAATCTTGGTATTTTTGTGGTTATACTGTGTGGAACGTTAAGATGTGAAGGCTTACACCGGGCAGGAGACCAGATTCATCTATTCGCTTAGTGAAACCTCCTGCACAAGAGGAACCAGATGTGTTGTCTCTCCTCCATCTGGGAAGCTGCAGCTGGCTCTAAAGGCCAGTGTGGTGGAAACAATCTTTTTTTTATCTGCTGGCTAGGTCTCCAGTGTTTTCCAGAGTAAGGGTTGCTTCTGCGTCCTTAGGAGGAATGCGCGATGAAATTGAGATACTAACAAGAAAACAACCAGGCATCTCATGTGAAATCGGAAAGCAGCTCCAGAAGGACAGCCCACGAAGAGAAAAACAAACCTGCGCCTGGTGGAATCTGGCCACCAAGATTCAGACACGTCGCCTAGCTCAGCGTTTCCTTGATTAGAACCAGTGGTGCCTCCCCCACTCCTCCTCTGTGCCTCATTCCTCTTCTCACTTTTCTCCCTTTTTCTCCCATCTTGTATTCCTAGTGGTTTTTGTCTTATTCGCATATCTACTCAGCCTGTCTGTCCTCCCTTCTGTCCCTCCTCTTTCTCCCAGAACCTCCCCCAATCCATCTCTCACTCATCCAAAGTTTTTGTTGTAAATGGCTTGAAGACAACAGAGGATGGGGGGATGGGGACGTCTTTGAGCTTGAACAGTTGTTTTAAGTCATGTATATTCACCTCCTCTTGATAGCAGCCCTACAATACTCACTATTCAGTCGGAAGGGGGGGAGTTATATACTCATTCCAGTTGCGTTATCTTTTCTTTCATTGTTTTCTCACAAAAGAAGAAGAGCATGGGTAAAAATTCTCAGCAAATTAAAAAACGTAGCCCTGATGTGTAGAGAACTTTATACCACTGCCTCAAATATACCAAAGTTCAACCTAGTTTAATGGGAGCATCCATAAAATGGTGACACATAAAAAACTAACAAAGGACACGTATCCTAAGGCTTGTCTAGATAATTTTTCAAGTTTAGTTCTAACCTACATTTAGGATATTTTACTCCTAACTAATGTGACCGATTAGAACCCTTCTTCAACTTTTAGTGGATAACATTTTCTTCCATTGAACACTATGAGTTAAGTATTAAAAATTACCTTTAATTGTTACTGAGCCCCTAAAACTAAAGTAGAATTCCAACAAATTTCTAAAAAATCTGAAACCCTAAAATGCTTTAATTTAAGAAAAAATTAAAGAAACCAGGAAGCTACAAAACGAACAGAATTACAAAAAGGAAATCAATGACCAATATGCCTCGATAGCATTGGCTTGCATGAAAAATGTTGCATATACACTATATTGCCAAAAGTATTTGCTCACCTGCCTTGACTCACATATGAGCTTAAGTGACATCCCGTTCCTAATCCATAGGGTTCAATATGACGTCGGTCCACCCTTTGCAGCTAGAACAGCTTCAACTCTTCTGGGAAGGCTGTCCACAAGGTTTAGGAGTGTGTTTATGGGAATTTTTGACCATTCTTCCAGAAGCGCATTTGTGAGGTCGCACACTGATGTTGGACGAGAAGGCCTGGCTCTCAGTCTCCGCTCTAATTCATCCCAAAGGTGTTCTATCGGGTTGAGGTCAGGACTCTGTGCAGGCCAGTCAAGTTCATCCACACCAGACTCTGTCATCCATGTCTTTATGGACCTTGCTTTGTGCACTGGTGCACAGTCATGTTGGAAGAGGAAGGGGCCAGCTCCAAACTGTTCCCACAAAGTTGGGAGCATGGAATTGTCCAAAATGTCTTGGTATGCTGAAGCATTCAGAGTTCCTTTCACTGGAACTAAGGGGCCAAGCCCAGCTCCTGAAAAACAACCCCACACCATAATCCCCCCTCCACCAAACTTTACACTTGGCACAATGCAGTCAGACAAGTACCGTTCTCCTGGCAACCGCCAAACCCAGACCCGTCCATCAGATTGCCAGATGGAGAAGCGCGATTCGTCACTCCAGAGAACGCGTCTCCACTGCTCTAGAGTCCAGTGGTGGCGTGCTTTACACCACCGCATCCGACGCTTTGCATTGCACTTGGTGATGTATGGCTTGGATGCAGCTGCTCGCCCATGGAAACCCATTCCATGAAGCTCTCTGCGCACTGTTCTTGAGCTACATGAAGTTTGGAGGTCTGTAGTGATTGACTCTGCAGAAAGTTGGCGACCTCTTCGCACTATGCGCGTCAGCATCCGCTGACCCCGCTCCGTCAGTTTACGTGGCCTACCACTTCGTGGCTGAGTTGCTGTCGTTCCCAAACACTTCCATTTTCTTATAATACAGCTGACAGTTGACTGTGGAATATTTAGGAGCGAGGAAATTTCACGACTGGATTTGTTGCACAGGTGGCATCCTATCACAGTTCCACGCTGGAATTCACTGAGCTCCTGAGAGCGACCCATTCTTTCACAAATGTTTGTAAAAACAGTCTGCATGCCTAGGTGCTTGAATTTATACACCTGTGGCCATGGAAGTGATTGGAACACCTGATTCCAATAATTTGGATGGGTGAGCAAATACTTTTGGCAATATAGTGTATATAAAAACAGTATTTTTAAAAATGCTATTTTAATAACATCAGCTTCCTCTTTGTCCTCTTAGATCATAGTTGGAGAAAGCTACAGGATCTACTTTCTAAACGAGGGATCCAAGTCTTTCGTTGGGAACCCCTATATAGCTGCCCTCTACAAGCAGGTCGGGGTGTTTATCTTCGGCTGTGCCATCAGCCAGTCCTTCACCGACATCGCCAAAGTGTCGGTAGGCCGAATGCGACCGCACTTCATCGACGTATGCAAGCCCGACTTCTCCACCATCAACTGCTCCTTGGGCTACATCACTGAGTACACATGTCATGGGCCAGAGAGCAAAGTTCAAGAGGCCAGGTATGGCAACAGATGTGAGATGGCCTGTCTCCCATAAGTTAAATTTGAAGGCAATGGTTTAGATGTTGGCTAAGTGCTAAGAAGCTGACTGATATAATTTTCTCCTCAGGAAGTCATTTTTCTCTGGTCATGCGTCATTCTCCATGTACACCATGCTCTACCTAGTGGTGAGTTTCCAGAATGTCCTCCTTTCATTTATTCTGATAATAACAAGGAAAAATTAATAATACAAATCTGATTATTTTGGTTCCCCTACAGTTTTACCTGCAGGCACGGTTCACTTGGCATGGCGCTCGCCTGCTGCGTCCGTTGACCCAGTTCACCCTCATCATGATGTCCTTCTACACGGGCCTGTCTCGAGTGTCTGACCACAAGCACCACCCCACTGATGTCCTGGCTGGGTTCATTCAGGGCGCCCTTGTGGCCTACTGCGTTGTAAGTTGTTACTCTATTCTTTAGAGGACCTTAGGGGGGAAGCATTACATAAATAATGTATCTAAACTGATCTGCAGTAATGTTTAAGAGCACTTTGATCACTATTTTTCAAGATAATGCTTGCTGGATATATATATATATATATATATATATATATATATATATATATATATATATATATATATATATATATATATATATATGTATATGTATATATGTGTATGTTTTTTTTTTTACTTGTAGAGACAAGTTCATCATGAAAAAGCTGAATTTTGCGTGGCTAAACTTGGGACTGTGTCCAAACATCCACCCTAACCCCTACATAGAGCACTATAAAGGGGTTACAGCTTTTATACAGTGTATGTCTGCTGGATGAAAAAGTAGTGGACTCAAAATTTCCAATAATGCACTTAGAAAAGTAGTGTTCAACCACAGTCAGACAAGCAAATGTATCCCAGGATCTCTTGCAAGAGCTCTCCTCACAAAACTAAATGGTGCAGGCACCGTGCGGGGAGGTGGAGTTACATGACCAACAGGGAGCGAAAAGTAGTGATAATCTGTTCGTCAGTTAACCAAGTTCACTATAAAGTCCACTATATAATCCCGGCTCTATATAGTGATTGAATGGTTAGAGCGCATATTCAGACACAGCCTGGGATTTACAAATTTATTTCTTCTCAGAATGTATGGCACCACCTCTCCTATTTATGTACTGTGGAGCACTTCTTCATAGATGCAAACTACATTTTGTTGCTTTGTACTTGTGACAGTGTAAAGACTATAAAGTTGAATTCTAATCTATTATACAAAGACACCCACTGTTTAGGAGGTGTCTAGTAGCAAAGGTTGCATGTTTACATTACTTATATAAATTGTACACATTACTGAATATGCTCATTTGCCTTTTTTATTTTATTTTAAATTATTGTAAGAATGGCAATGAAAAATAAAAAAAGAAACTCAGATCATGAGATTTCTTGTCAAATGGAAATATTTTGCGGCCGGCATATGAAGCAGTAGACTTTGTGCTTATTTACTCCTATTTACTCCTATTTCGTTTTGTATACACTCTGTGTATACTGAATGACAATAAAGTTGTCCAAGTCTAAGTGTCTAAGTCTATTTTGAAATAAGAAAGGAAGCATTTCTTGAGTTTCTGTGTTGTTTTTGTCTCCACCAAGTTAAGATTGATTATTCTGTGGTATTTTTTGGTGCTCGTTAGTAAAACAACCAGATGGGGTGACTTATTTTTCAATATTTGTATCAGCAAATCTTTATCAACTAACTACACCCATTTCTACATCCACCTGGTGACTTTCTGTTTGAAGTGAAGCAAAGGGTATCACAATTAATCGTGACTGTACTTTATCCCTGTTAAACTTGACTCAATGGCTTTGAAGCAGAAAGTGTACTATCTCAAATAGTTACTCTATTCATTTATTTAGTTTTAAATCACAGCCTATTTTTGTGAACCCAATTTTACCTCTTGCATCTTGAATGTGATATATTATAACTACCTTAAACAATGGCATGCATTAAAATTGAAGATGTTAACAGCACAAAGAATAAAGAAACTTCATATTTCTAAATGGTCTCAATAGATTTGTTTTTAAACAGGGCAGGATTGCAGATTTGGAGTTAGAAGTACACTCTAAATAAGAAAATGCAGCTCCAAAGTAAATCAATTGGTAAGAAGTTATTGAATTAAGTTTGCCCAACTTTATTTATCTAAATTATCAAATTATAATCTTTTTAAAAAGTTGGTTTAACTTGATTTAACCATTTGTCACCAAATGCAAATAATTTAAGTTTTAGTTGTAAGTAACTAGCCACCAATCACTGAAAGCATCTTTATAAAATTTATAAAGATAAATAAATGTCAAAAAAATAAAAACTCTACTCTACATTTTTCTTTTTGCCAAAGCTCAGATCAGGTAGCATGTGTCATTTTTCTTGTTCATCTCCAAACCTCTAAAGAATTTCTTCTTTCTGCCTGCAGGTTTTCTTTGTGTCCGACTTGTTTAGACCCAAAGGAAGACGCTCTGCTTTGTCCCAAACGCCGGTGAAGAAAGATCTCATTCCTGCAGCAGACATCAGGGAGCGGGGCAACCCTCTTATCATGGCGTGAAAGAAAGCCTGCCAAACTGACTGCAAACAATCCATGAGCAGAGCTGTGCCTTTATGTTTTTTCTACAGCCACTAGTTCTTACTGGATAAAAAATCAACACTGTGGAAACTGCAGTAGAGAACCAGAGGAAAGAGTTAAGCAAGTTCTACTTTCTGAAAGGACATTTTTAATCTTTTTCCTTAACTTCACCAGGCATGTGAATGTGTGGAAAGGAGAGATGACCTTTTTTTTTGTAACCAAAGGAGTGTTTGACCTTCTCTCCTATTGTGAAAATTGCTGCACGTTCACCATTGTTGAGACTTTTTTGCTAAACAAAAGTCGGAAATCAAACAAAACGTATAAATGGCAGCTGCTTACAAAGCTGTATGCGGCTTTAGTGCATTTCATCCCACATTTAGCATGGGAGCTTCAGTCATATTCCTGCTCCTCAGTGTGACTCATTCTAGGACAAAAAAACCCAAAAAGCAAATTCCTCTATTTCAGGAAGGATATTGTCTGTTTGGTCATATAACAAGACAGTATGTGTGATTTTTAAGCACTATTTTAGTTCAGTATCGTTCGTCACCACTTGAATGAATTTTTAAAAAGCTTTTAGAAAGCTTTGCCTCACTTTGAGCACAGTTCAGTGTTCAGATGTTACAGTCATGTGGAAAATACAGTGAGGGTGTGTGTGTTTGGGTTTTGGATGTGGGCCTCGTTCTGCTGGAAAGGATGAGCCCCTACTGAGCCATTTAATGAAACGGCTGTCTTTTATATGTGCCAGACGGGTGGTCACATGTGTTAGGTCAGAGCTTGAGTGTTTGCTTGTGTTTTAATGTACCTTCGTTTCTTAAGGTCAGGTCCGTATGTTTCAGCATTTATGGCAGAAAAGTATGGCACAAAGGGGCACCTGTTCTCATAGATGCATGCACCAGGAGACAAGAATGCCTGTGAATAATATGATTTTATCACATGTACATCTTACTTATTGATTATCCATAACAGTGAAAGTAAACACACACAATCGGGATGGTAGGAGGGATGCATAAACCAGTGACTGACAGATTTTAAAATCAGAGGCCCACCCTTTTCCCCTTTTAGCGAATGCACCATAACTAAGACTAAAAGGTTGTAGAAAGAGCAACAATTTTCAGTGAGGATTAGTAACTAGACTTTAGTGATTTACCATATCTATGGAGGTGAGCTAGCTGCTCATTTAGCAAAAATCCTTTCAGTTGAGGTCAAAACCTCCCATGCACCATTCATTTTTTTATGGTCTGATGCAAACAGGAGATGCTAACCCATTATCTCCCTTATTTTTTCTTCATGTTTGACAGTGACCACTTTGTCAAACACAACTTGATGACAAAATTAAGTTGTCTGCTCCATTTTAATAATAAATAATGATTGTGTACAGGAGTCAGAATTGGCAAAATTGTATCAAGGGTGTTACACAAAGCTTTGAAACTACAACCTATAAGGTAATTTGATTGTGATTTGCAATCAAATTACCTTATAGCATATATATTAGGGATGGAACGGTTTATGAAAACCGTCCGAACCGTTCGGTTCGACTGTCTCGGTTCGGTTCGCGTGTGTTGCGTTCGGTTCATGCGGTGCTCCTTTTTCTCATAGGCTAAGTGTTTACACTCCAGAGCAGAAGGTGGCGGTACTGCGACCAAAGCCAACCAGCAGTGGTAAACAAGAAGAAGAAGAAGCGAAGCAGCGTAGACGGGTTGAGCAGAAAAAAATCAGTTGTTGTGGAGAATTGTGTGGGTATGGCGAGTGGGAAAGAACAGGAGTTGGAAGACGCGCCAGCAGCACTTTATAGGTCTGCTGTATGGGACCGCTTTGCATTTAGAGTGACCTACGATGATGGCGGAAAGAAAGTTGTGGATAAAAGTGCAACATTGTGAAACACGTTTTGTTTATGCTAACAGCAACATGACCAACATGTCATGCTAATTCTGAAATCCCTCATACTCCGTCAGCGCTCCAGACCGCCTACGCAAAGCAAAGCATACAGCCTCCTCTGTGGCTCCCGTCCGCTCCGCAAGGGCATGCGCGAGATGATTAAATTCAATGCAGCAAAACATGCAGAAATGATCCAGGGTTTCCATGGATCATTAAAAAAAATTACAATTCATTAATTTTTTTTTATTTTTTCATTTCCTTAATTTTTATGGGATTTCGGTGTAACAATCAACATATACCAAACTGAACCGAAAACCGTGACCACGAAACCGTGAACCGAACAGAAGCGTGGATTTTGTTAACCATCCCACCCCTATATATATATATATATATATATATATATACTAAAAGTATTTTTGAGTTAGCCATAGCAGCCATAACACTCCCAATTTTCCAATTACAGTAGGTTGCCATCCATTTTTCTAGCAGTAATTTCCAAACAGGAGGGAAAACTGTTGCCGCCCACTTTTTAACCATCTGAATTTGCACAGCATTACACAACTTTTCTAGCATTTAGATAGAAGGATTTTTAAAGATTGAACAATTTTAGAATAGAAAATCCCTTTATTGTCCCACAATGGGGAAATTCTGGTGTTTACAGAAGCAAAAAGATGACAGGAAAAAAAAAATGCTCACGCAAATGTGGTCCATAGAAAAGCATACCGGTATTAGAAGAAAAGTGTATAAGAATGTTTAATGTTTAGGAGTTTTAAGATGTTGTAAAACCTTTCTACACTTTCATACTTTTTCTTTCTTCACCTTTACAAAACCAGACACTGACAATAAAGCTCTGATCATTGCATCTCTTACAATGCAGGCATTATATAAACACAATATAATACCTCTAATATGCTTGCATGAATCCATTGTGAAACATATATAGGAACCCAGTGCCTTAAAATATCCCGATTCAGTTATAAATAACTACGACTGCCTCAGAGGGTTCACTGTGCCACTATGTGCTATAAATTTCTGTAAAGTGTGTCCTGTTTATTTTCTGCAGAAACACGCACTATGACTCTGTGTTGAGACCTGTGTAAATGTAAAAACGTGCTTCTGTGTGAGGCAAACAGCATCCAGTGAAGTGAATATGAGCTTGTATAAAACAAGAACAAAGCGCTCAAAACCAGACCGCTATGGTTCTTTTTTTTTGATGAAAACTATTTAGTATTTTTGTAATGTGAATTTTTGTACTATAAAACTGTATTAAAGAAAGAATGTCTTTAATAAAACACAAAAGAGTTAAAAGATAAGAGTTTTTGTGATTTTTCTTTTTTTGGGGGTGTTATTTTTCAGCAGGCGGCCAGCTTTGCGTGTGATGAAGAGATTTTGGGCGTTGGGCAGTGGTAGACTTCCATGAGCCTCTTCCTGTGGGGAAATAGTGAACATTCCAGGTTTTAACCCTGCTCCCCATCGGCCCTCTGGAATAATACAGAGTCCACACACAAACTATGCCAGAGTGGCAAGCTATACTCATATGTGAACATGCTTAAAAGCTGTAAAATTGTGCTTCCCACCATGGATTATCCAAAGACCTCCTTGTCTCTGTGAAATTTTGCGCTAAAACCTGGGTTGCATCATGCTGCTCAAAGTGTATTTGCGCCCTAAGCTAGGCTGATCGTTGTTAAGGATAAGACAAATAGCCCACAGTGAAATTAGAGCTGATTAGTTTAACAAGCTGCCAAGTATGCTTTTTGGCAAAAAAAAAAAGAAATGTAAGGCTTTTAGCTGAATTCTGCTCTGCCTCTAGGTCTGCTCAGATGTTTTCATACATCCATCACTGTCATGGCAGTCGTAACAACTTAAGGCTTTTAATAAGTTGTACCATTAATATAAAACCTGAGTGATTTAAAAAAAAAAGTTTCTCAAGTTTAAATGTATTCATTTTTTTGTAATCCTTATTATCTAAAATACAGAAACACACTCAACTAATGCTGGAAAGGGTTTAAATGATACATTTTTAAGATATGCTAATGAAGCAGCCCTCCATCTTCTATCATTACCTTGAAACAGAGGGAGCAAAAAGTGACAGCAGTGTAATTTTGACCAGGTCTAAACCCAAGGCAAACAAACTTTGAAGGATTTGCTTCAATGTGAGTATAAACAGAGAATTAAAGTGTTGGCGGTCACCACAATTTGCTCTGAAGTCTGTGTGTTAGTAATTGTGAAGCCTTTTGGAAAATAATGTTTTCAAGATGCCATATATCTAATATGCACCTCTTTATCAACTAGATATCCATACATATGCAACTTTTCTATGTGTATGAGGATATAGAGGTTGCATATGTATGGATATCTAGAAGATATCTAGAAGCTGGAACAAGGATCAGTGTGAGCAGAGAACAGGCATGTGAATAGAAGCTGATAATAAAAACTGGGCAGGATTTTATTGTGACGCTGATATATGGCTTCCTTGTGGTGCAAACAGTTTCAGATTATATTTCTGTCGGGCTGTGGTGAATATTTTTAGATGGTGTATCCAGGCTCATGTGGCTTTAATGTTTATGGTGACATGACAGTTTTCCCAGACTCCTTGGATATTATGGTTTTATACACATTGTCATGGACGAAATTTTTATTTCAGAAGTGGGGGAGACGCAAGTATTTTTAAGTTCAACGTGTTTTCTAGTAATTCTTCTGTGTCTGTTTTCTCCACTTTCTCTTGCATCTCTGCTATCCCTCTCCTGATAGAATATATGGATGCATGACTGGACTGGAGAATTTGGGGTGCAACAATCCATATAGATTTACAACAAATAGTTTTACATTTATTATGAGCTTGTAGATATGGGAACCCATAGCCTTGGGGCTGTGGCAGAGGGCTGCCATTGTGTAGCGCCCCGGGAGCAGTGTGGGGTTAAGGGTCAGAGTGTCAGTCCGTTGGAGTCGGGCTTGAACTCAGAACAACTGTAATCCAGAGGTGGAAAGAGTACTAAAAAAATTTGTAATTGAGTAGAAGTATCTTTCAGAGTAAAAGTAAAATTACCCATCTCAAAATTTACTCAAGTGAAAGTACAAAATTACTTCATTTAAAATGTAATTTGAGTAATAGTTACTTAGTTACTTTGAGTTATTTAATGCAAAAAAGGATGAGTCATGAATCAAATTGAGCACAAGGTGTTTTAATCGATTTCAAGGCGTATTTCAGAGTGGACATCCACACTTTCAAAAGATCAGCTGGGCTAAAGAACATACTTCCTTACAGCACAAGGACAGTCACAACCTGTACCATAAAGTACAAACAATCTTCAATCCTACTGTCCAACAGACAACACCATGATAGGAATAAATAAATTTAAACTACGTTTTAAAGTTTTCAAAATGCACACAAAATTAAATGCCCAAAAGATACCAGAAATCAAACTAAAACTCAACAGGATCCCACTGTTATTAACAAACTCCTCATTTAATGATTTTAACTGACACTTGTTTTACTTTGATGGTGATTTTTAACTGTCACTTATTTTTACATCAATTGTTTATATGTTTGAATTGTTAATAAAGTGCTGTT